ACCTCTTAAAATAGATCCGACAACCGTACGCGATAGGTTCGCTTTACACCGCATTGAATGGTGTTTATAGTGTGTCTCCGGACAAATCAGAAATGAAGGAAAAAACACGGGGGATGACCGCCGCTTTTTCAATGAACTATGTACTAAAGCGCTGCCGTGCCACCACAGTTGCATTAACCTATCTTCTTTAGTCATCACTGGGAGACAAGGATTGCTTACTGACGATTGCCCTATATCCAGTTCAAGAAAAGTGACTAGTGGCTGTCAGATGTTTCTCTTTCAGTAACCATCGGTTTAATAGTCTCAGCATGCTTGTGTTTGCCTGTGAAGGAATGTAAGCCGACTCCGTTGATGAAACGTGGCTCCCATCTGCATTCCACCCGGTCTTATTCCTTCGGGTTTACACTAGATGTGAGGTGTGTGGTTGGAGCTATGGGTGGTGCAGCGCAAGCCACCCATGGTCTTTCTGTATGCGCAGGCGTCCTGTGGCTGTCCCTGTGGAGGCCACAGTGACAGTCAAATCCGAAACCGGATATTTCCAACCATATATGAAAGAAGTAACACTCATCGACCTCTTACTAAGCGGTTGTGATATGAGCATCCAGGCATTTAGGACGTATTTATTTGTGTTGCATCGCTAAGGGTCTATTACGCCTCGTCGCCCTATTTGGATTCGGAAGTCAGCCCGGACGAGTATTGCACTTAATCTTAGCGTGACCAAAGTTGTACTGATTTCATTGATTAGTTGGTGTGCGTCTGATCCTCCTGTGTTTCACGTAGCTACCACGGAGGCTTCTTACCACAACGCAACTGGATTACAGCTGTAAGCCAGGAATACTAGATTTTTCACTTAGTAGCTTGAAGCCCTGCCTCACCGTCGACCTGTTCAACCATAGGACTGGATTTGTCTCCTTTTCACAGCGGCTTGTTTTGAGTTAGTTCTTCAAACGTCACGCGATACTGATAAACGAAGCGTGAGGGAACACAAACCATCTCCATGTTATAATGGCACATCGTTGAGCTGCCGCTGGAACAACTGACAAACTTACATGTTGGTGGTCTGCTCGTTTGATCTAGTTTATCTCTCGCACTAAATTGCAGTTGATTTGAGGATACCTTGCTGCACGCAAATAAGAATAAATTGTATGAATAATTGAAGTAACTCAATAAAAATAGTCACAATGATTAAATCGTCATACCGCTGCTGTGGTGGACTCCCAAGGCTCATCCAGGAAGACGACAGGCAACGTCATCGAAAGCTCTTAAATTACTCTGAGCTGGTGACCATTTCATACCTATCCATTTTGTTTGGCGCTCATCCACGACAGCGGATTTCCTTCATTTTACTTGCTTATGTGTGAATTATGATATGGTTAGTGGCACCATGTCCCGGCTTTACCTATCACTGCGGCCTCCACAGAAACAGCCACAGGACGCCTGCGCCTGCAGAGGGACCATGAGTGAATTGTGCTGCACCGCCCACAGCTCCACCCACACACCCCATATCCAGTGTAAAACCGAAGGGCAAGTGAATGGGAGCCACGTGTCATCAACGGAGCCAGCCCACACTCCTTTAACATGCACAGCAGCAGCGTTCATGTCTTTTTAAATTGGGAATCATGCATACCAGACGTTCACAAGGCGGTGTCTGGACTGTAGTCCGCTCCACAATGGATAAAACCACTCTTACAGCCTAGCACGGCCACGATGACCGTGCACCCCTTCCCCCAGCAACTATTTACAGTCTCCTGCAGCCAGTAATCGAGTTGGAGGGTGTTAGACGGATATGCACCTTGTAAACATTCAAATCAAGCGCAGCCACACCAAAAACCTCTAACAACCAACATCGAATTTGAGGTAAAGCAAACACTCGAAATTGGCACAGCAGATACTGGTACGCAGTACTAACGCTTCGCTGCTGTGCAACCACCAACAGTCTCGCGTACACTAAGGATATTGTGAGAGTTGCCCGGTCACTACACAGGCTCGAACCCACGCCCTTGGATTACAAGACAGGATTGTGATCCTTAGGACTACATACCGGCTTACGGATTTGACTGTATATGGCATCACAGAGTAAAAATATACTATAGAGTTTTCACTTGGAAACAGCCGGATATTCGGAGTGTGGCGGGATCGAGTTTGCGTAATTCTCAGTGGGATGTTCGACACTGTATAACCAGATAGACGCAGGTCATTAGTTTCAACTCCCTCAGGTGATTGTACGATGCTAAGCCTGAAAGTCTTGTTTGATCACTGTGAACTTGGCAACGTTCGAGGCAGTGGCATGGTGTTGGGCGAAGTGTCACAACCGATGTTTTCAGACTTACTACTACCTAAGCATTGGAAACGAATCAGGAGCAAAATGCGCCTGACAAACTAATCAAATGACAATAATTAAAACTAGTTGATCTACTTACACCGGTGAGACGAATGATGACAAAGTATACAGTGAAGGATACATTCGACCTGATTGACTGTGTGCAAAACATGAATATCGCTGACAAGGTAATGTATTCAATGGACGTACAGTCTTTGTTCACTAACATCCCATTAAGAGAAACGGTGGATTTCTTATGTGAGTTTATAATGAGTAATAAAGTAGTGTTACCGATTCCCGTGGAACATCTTAGGGATTTGCTGCTACTATGCACTGAAAATGTGCATTTCTTATTTGAAGACAAGCCGTATCGACAGGTGGATGGTGTAGCTATGGGAAGTCCGCTAGGTCCGGTATTGGCTGACATCTTCATGACGATGGTTGAAATGAGATGCGAGCAGCACATCAATCAAATGTGTTTATACAAGCGATACGTAGATGACACATTAGTGATCGCCCCAAGTGGAGACGCTGTTCTACCTTTTCTCAACGTGCTTGATAACACACATCCAAACGCCCGTTTTACCTGCGAACTGGAGGATAACAATTGCCTTTCGTTTTTGGATGTGTTGTTGACCAGACGAGAAGACGGCTCCATTAAGCGTTCTGTTCACAGGAAAGCTACATGGACCGGATTGTATGAACACTTCAACAGCTTCGCCCCTATACAATACAAGCGGTGCTTAGTCAAGACGGTGTTTAATCGAGCCCGCAGAATATGCACTGACGACTGTTTGTAATCGGAATTGCTGTTTATCACACAGACGCTACGAGCCAACGGATATCCAGAAGCGTTTATTCGATTCCCAGTCAACTGAAGGAAAACAGGCCGAGGGTACTTACTGTGCCCAAATTGTCTGTCTATCTTCAATTACCTTTCAAAGGTGATATCGTGGCCGCTCAACTCGAAAGTCGTGTGCATACAGCGATTCGACGGACATTCAACGCAGCCAAATTCTGCCCCATTTGGGAGACCAGGAAGTTACCTATGCCTCCAGTGAGGCCTACTCAACCGATCTCCGCCACAACCCATTGCATTTACCAATTCGTTTGTAACTGCGGTAGTAGTTACATTGGCAGAACAGATCGAGCCTTGGGTAAGCGCATTGGAGAACATATCCCAAAATGGATTGCCAAACTATCGACACAACAAGCAGGCGAACGAGAAAAGGTATCTAAGCTGCCGGCCTCATCGATCGCCAGACATCTACTCGAATCAGGCCATCAGGTTGACCCCAGGTCAACATTTACAGTTATCTATCGTAATGACAACCCCAAAGTGTTGAGGTTTGCCGAAGCGGTGGCACTTAACCGGCATCGCCCTATCCTATGCGTACAAAAACAATTAACAGTCTCCCTGAAGCTTCCTTGGGGCTCATGACCCTAAGATCAGGATGCTAATCTGTCATTGTTGTGTCTACGTAATTTTTCCCTTGTGACCAGTTTCAAATCTTCGATTTTTTCTGTCACGTGATTCATCTATCTGTTGTTAGTTTGCGAGTGAACAGATAACACGAAATGGTACCATCTCGCAATACCAGTCTTCTTACTTATGAATGGAAGGATTTTGGTGAGTATTTTTGTTCGTCGCAATCAGCCGACAATTCAGATATGTCGACCAGCTGTCCGGAAAAGCACCAGACGGCCGTTTCGCCCTATTGGGGCTCATCAGTGGTGCGCATCCTTCGGTCCTCTGCGGAGGATCGAACCCATGACTGCTAGTGGATCTTGCCAACTAGCCCGCAGCTTATGCAACTGCGCCATGGAGGACGGTATCTGACTATCGTGAATTGTTAGCTAAATGCGATATAGCCCGACGCATCCTCCACTGCCATGCAGGCACCTGCCATGCAGATGACAGCGGTCGGCCTTCCGGCGTCAGGACTTCCCGGTTACGGCAGCTATGAATCGACATAGCATTTTGTGGAATCTGTACGGGCGAATTGGTATTACTTATGAATGGAAGGATTTTGGTGAGTATTTTTGTTCGTCGCAATCAGCCGACAATTCAGATATGTCGACCAGCTGTCCGGAAAAGCACCAGACGGCCGTTTCGCCGGAAGGCCGACCGCTGTCATCTGCATGGCAGTGGAGGATGCGTCGGGCTATATCGCATTTAGCTAACAATTCACGATAGTCAGATACCGTCCTCCATGGCGCAGTTGCATAAGCTGCGGGCTAGTTGGCAAGAGCCACTAGCAGTCATTGGTTCGATCCTCCGCAGAGGATCGAAAAATGCGCACCACTGATGAGCCCCAATAGGGCGAAACGGCCGTCTGGTGCTTTTCCGGACAGCTGCTCGACATATCTGAATTGTCGGCTGATTGCGACGAACAAAAATACTCACCAGTCTTCTTATTGTCTTATTTAGAATAATTAAAACGTTAACTAATTAGCTTTGTCTTATCACTGTGGTGCAGTGATTCAGATGCCTGACTTGCAGCTTCCGCTCTCACATCCAAAATTCTATCCCTAGCCTCAATTTGCGCTGACCCAGGCCGCTTAAAACTGCCTTCGGTCGCATGGTTTCAAAGCATGAATACAGAATACTCGCGTATCTTTTTTCCCTGTCGTTACACTATCTCTGTTGCTTCTTCATTCGTCCTCGTTTTGGCACGCTATGAATATCTGTCTAGAACTTGGCCGACTTGTGTACTTTAACGCACCTTTATTTTTTTCAACAGAGATCGATCTGTTCCCATCGACCGTTTCTTTTGACTTGCGATCCTCGTTACGCATGAAGGCGGCTGAGCCTCCTGCATTCCGACAACCGTTTTCCCGATGTATTCTCTGCAATGCAGTTCTGTCTCCGGAGTCTGTTGTTCTCTTGGCGTGCGGCTCTTTCAATCCCATAACTATCATGCATCTTCGGATGATGGGTGGGTGAGATTCTGACCTGTTATCAAACACTTCTCTGTAGTCTATCACTTTTGTAGATAATTGTCTTATCATTACGGCTTTACCAACCGGATTAGAGTACCGATACTATATTTGCATCATTTCGCTCGCCAGTGTTTCAACGGTTTCATTCTTCCGTGAGTGTTCATTACATGTGTTGGTTGGCACTGCATCGGTTTCGTGTACCGGAGCAAGTATTCTGGTCAACTACAAACCTCACCCTATCGGGCGGCTCTCTCTTCTTATCATCCGTTTCATTGTTAAAACTTTTATGCTGCTGTCGTTCGTACTGTACTATTCCCATCAGCGCCTATGAAAGCAGTCCAATCTCTCATCAACGCATTCTGCGTCTTATTCTATACAACTTTCCTCGCCTTCTTTTAATGTGCTTCTGAACTAGCTTGATTATATTTTATGGATAAAATCGTATATCTCATTCCCTTTTCATCAACAAGAACTTGCTCGTGATGAGGTTGAACGATCGCGGACTCTGCCCAGATCTACGAATTGCACCAAAGGAGAGAATGCCTGTTCTGGTTTAGTGGAAGACACATCATCAATTGATGTGAGCTCGTGCACAGGAAAAGCTGACTTTAGTTGTCCCAACAGCGTGTTACCTTGGAACCAATCGGTTCTCTGTGGCGTTCTCAGCCCTGTTTCAGACACATATGCAAAGTCCGATTTGGCCCCATCATCAGCGCGCATCGAGCTGGCCAGATTAGCTTGCCAGTTCCACTCAGACTGGTTGGCGGTTGACATGTGGGAGGCGACACAACCTGAATGGGTCCCAACCCGATTGGTTGTGGACCATCTTCAGTTGGTTCTGGATCGGGTTTGGTTCAAATTGATCGCAAATGAGAGCTTCACTTACACTTCCGTCGTTCTACCTAATCAACCTCCTGTTGTACCCGCTTCGAATGGCCAACTTTCTCCGCAATCAAGAGGTAAGGTTTTCCTATCTCCTTGTTATTTTCTAGTTTCCTCGCTTTATGCGTCTTCTCTATTTCGCTATGTAAAATGACCCGGACTGTATCACCCGCCGTCTTCCACATTGTCAGCAACAGCGGTAACGCATTAACCCTTTGCACTAAAACTTCAGGTGAACGTGTGTAGTGATAATAAACAGTAATGCACAGCCCAACACAGAGCGCGAAGGCATCAAGTAACCGCTCATGATCAGAACGCTTACGCCATACGAACACGGTGTGATCATGAAGAATTCGTCTTCACGTGAGGATAAGATGGCATCACAGGACGACTTTTTCACTATCTCGCATGCTAATCAGTCTTAATCCATGGATTTCTCAGAGCCGCATCTAGATCAAGCTATCTGAATTGGACAAAACAGGAGCATGCCACTGGCGAAGATTACGTTCGCGCTCTCTGGTGACTGGAAAAATTACGCACAAGTAATCCGCCGATATGCCGTATCGACGCTTCGCTGCCGCACAACCACGAACAGCGGCGCGTGGACTAAGGATAATACGATAGTCGCCTGGTCCCATACGCAGGCTCGAACCCGTACTCTCGGATTACAAGGCAGGCTTGTGATCCTTTAGGTTACGAGCCGGTGATCATAAAAAACGCATAGTGGTTCACATGGATTCTTGTCTAGACGATAGGTTGTATTAACCGCACCCAGTTTAGTTGCTTATGGACGCTGTTCTCCTTTGAAAGGTCGCCTGATTTGCAACCATAAGGTCGTCGGTTCAAATCCACGTAGGAGTGGGCGTCCTCGCGGTATACTCAGCCCGCGCGCGACCGGTGGTGGTCGCGCGGCATCGAAACGCCGTTACGGCGTACAGCTGACACATTATTACTATTACTATTATTATTATTACTATTGACAGGTCAGGTCTTGTCCCCGTCAACTCTGACACCATCCGAGATCCGATCTTAACATGTTCGCCCCCAGTAAACGATGCGTCAGAATGTACTTCATGTGTCCAAGTCACCACAACTTGTCTATCATTTGTTTCAGCAGACTATTCTGATTGTTCCATCTTCCCGATGAGGAGCTAAAATCCGCGATCCTCCTCTCACCTCCCTCTAGAGATCAGTGATTACTCAAATTGGCTTACAGTGTCATGGAATTCGTGTCTTTCGGGGCCAGTCCTTCCTTGTGCATGTTAGGGACGCGTATAACGGTGGGGGATGAGCATCCCGCCGTCAGTTATTTGGTCATGGCGCTTGGCGCCCACACACTCCCTTGGTCCATCTGTCTCAACTACTCGCTCGCCGCTTCTAGTCACTCGCCGGGCAAATGGAATGTATACTACCTATAGGACAATCTCACTATCTAGTGTAACTGAGTGTGCACTGGTTGTCTGACTGACGAGTCTTTCTCGAAATCTGATTCAACTTCCACGTTTCATACGCACACTACCGTTTCTTGTTCCTGTCAGCAGAGTCTGCACACGTCAACGCATTCGATGGCTTGTTCTCTGAATCGTGGCTTCTGAATTGTATCAAGCGTACTGCTCAGATAACCGGCTGCTCGCTATGCCGAAAAATTCCTTCCACACTACACAATGCACGAAGCACATCCTCATCTGCGTCTTGTGAGGATGCTGATTCAATCTCCTCCACATCCCACGAGGTCTGTTGCCGGTGGTATCCGAGACCTCGGGTTAGACTGGTGTTTGGTGCGGACATTATTCAGTCTTTTCAGGTTCCTAACTTGTGGACACAAGAGGACGTAAGTCAGTAACTCCTATTGCCTTAGGTGAGCTAGCTAATATTATTATTACTACCGTCATTGGATTGCTGCTAATCCTAACCTTCTCATGCTGCACTGTCTTCTTTAGCTTTGTTCATTTCTTCGTTTCTCATATCCCAGGTGAGATAGTACAAACTTTTGGGAATGATTCTAAACAAGTTTCCACTAACATACTATTTTGACCAATATGAGAAGGAGGTTGGTCGCAGCCAAATTCCGTTAAACAGCTACCAACTATTCAGTAGTCGCTGGACAGCCGTTTCGTGCGTCAGCAGCGCACACCCCTCTCAAATCCTACTGGTTTCGAGTCCAGGAATTTCTTCTTTTCGTTTAATGGTTCCAGTGATCTCTGATTGCCTCAGTTCGGGAAGTAGTTGCTTGTCCTTTAGAGTAACGCCCGCGGACGGCATCGCAGCCGCTGCGTTTGCCCTTGATAACCGCTTTAAACCCGATTGTCTCGTCCACCTATCCCACGGTATCAAATTTGTGGTCCGCAATTCCTTGCTGGATTAGCGAGGCGGATACTGCTGCTGAGTCGCAGTCGATCGAATGATTCTTTCTGCGAATACATGTGTTACTCGTCTGCAACACTGCAAATACAACATACCTGTGGGATTTGAAGACTATCATCTGGGGCCTTTTGCAACCAAGTCACGGATATCGCTTTTCATAATGTTTGATAATTCGTTACGATGGGCGTTGATCGTGACTCGGTAGCTTAGAGATACCGTCCTCGGCTATTAATTCTACGTTCCCTGTGTTCGAATTGTTGTCATGAGTTCGAGTGAATACGAAGACAGTCGTGTGATGCATTGATGCAAGCGGATGACCTCCAATAGCTATTCGCCTTTGTCTATAGCTCCAGCGAACGAATTGGTCGATGTTTTGGGTCAGTCGCAGTCAGATCACATACTAAGTGCCTCAATCCGGATCCCCAGTGACTACTCCTGCGCCTCACTGGTAATTCGTTAGCCATCTGATTGATTGTGTCTAGTGGCGTTGAATTTCATCCACCATGACTGTTTTTGATTCATGAGCTTCCTTCTTTTCAGCAGCTCTTCAGACCGCTTATCACCATCTCACAATTCTGACACAGGATTCGTTTTCCACATTTCTGTCGCTATTATCATTTTTCCTGTTGACAGTTGGAGGGTAGGTCAAAAGCATGCGAAGTTGCGTAAGTACTATCGGCGCCGTTGTCACACCACCTGTGTCGCACTAGGATGGACCATTTTGCGTCCCCGCACAAGACACCAGCACATGCGGTGGCACTAGTGTGTCTTGCGAACGCATTCGTATACACGAAAGTGTGACGGGTCATATCTATTTTCATGCAGGAGAACTTCAAAGGGACAGTAGTCCCTCAGTACCGTTCAATTAGTTCTTTATTGTCTGTGTACTAAGACCTAGGTGTGTCAACTCGCTTTACCGTATGGATGGCTAGTAACAGCGTTAGGGAACTGGACTGATGGCCGATAGATATGAAAGTTAATTATAGATGCTGCCTATTTAAACACTGCCATGCCACATAGCAGGGTCTTTAACGGCTCATATGATTGGTGCGTCGGATAAGGTTGATTATGCCATGAGACAGCAAGCGCCACAAGGAGACTATCTCGCCAGGGCCGCCCTATCCTCGCACGTTATACAGGAACCGGTGGATTAGGCATCGCGATCTTGATAATGTTGCTAGGGCATCCGGGTTTCATAGTAATTCCATGCTATAACCGTTTTATGCCTCCTCAGTTTGGTCTTTTTCAGCCTACGGTTTCGGGGCAACGAAGCACTTTTTGCTGGTGGTCTGTTGTGGATGACTGATAGATTGTTACACGATAGATCAAACACGAGTGACTCGCCACTACCTTTTTTAACAATGATGGAAGTACAGTACAACCTGAATTCTGTATTATGGGAGCAAGTAGAAATTTGAATCTGTACAACTCAACCGAAATATAATCAAAAACGTTAAAAAGCAAACTATGACTTGTCAACACTTAAATCGTTTTCACGTTCTCACGTCATATCATTAAAAATAGTTTAACTCATATTAGATTAGGACTCAAAATGTGACATGTCTGTGGGTAATCGTTCTCGGAGTCTAACATTTGAGGAATACACATCCAACCATCGTTTGAACTGCTGTATTGAGTTCGTTTCCACTATATGTTCCGGCAAACCGTTCCAGACAGGGGATGGGAACTCGCTTTGGATCTGAAGCCACAAGTTTGTATTGCTGTCCGCGTGTTTTACAAGGTGTTCGCAAATGGAGTGGTGATTTCAGCATGGGAAAGTCGCCTACATATATAGTTCAGTAGGTCATGGTGTGGTTGACTCGCAACCGACGATAGGCTAGGGTGTACAGTCTCAGCCTCTCATTTGTCCTTGTACGGTAAACCTCGAAAACTGGGGATGAGCCTGGTAACGACGTGTTGGACCCGTTCACTCTTCTGCGCGTCGCTACGAGCGGTCGGCAGTAAGCGGGCGAGCCGCATTCATTGGTGTGATGATGGAGAAGAAGAGCCATCGCAATGAGGCTGGACCTTACCGTGGTGCGATGGTTTGTGTGTCTCAGCGATCCATTGAGCTATGCTGGGTGGTGCTTTTGCACCTTCAGAGTCACTCATACCAGATTGGTCAATGGTTAGAGGCCAGACAAACTCAGCCTCCTGGTCCTCCAGGTTAGGGGTTGAAATGAGGGTGGCTCCTTATTTCTTAAAATAGACTCTCTGTGGTCCAGTGCCAAAACCCCGCTGTCTTGCGGTCAGGTTTTTGAATCAAAGGCTTTGGTTCAGAACCCTAATCGTTCTCTTGCCTACACCTGGGCAATCTGACAGTATCCTGCCCACTCAATACAATGAATGTATCTTCAAACAAATGTCTGATGCTCTGGCCACCGCAGAGGATAATCAACGGTAACCTCTCTGCTGCGTCAAGCAGGGTGGACAGGGGTTTGGATGCTACTGCTCAAGTCTTCCCGTCTTCTTATTCCCCCTCTTACGCTTTTTCTCTCTTACCGTCCCGTTCCAGCTTCACTTTTATCCCCATGTTTTCAACCCCCCAATTCTTGGTCTTCCCCCAACATGCTTTGCTAGACGTTTATCTTCTAATTTCAACTCATGCTAACGCGGAGCGTCACTCCTGTCCTGTCGACAAGCCCATGTCCAACCAAGCGGTCCATTCCAGTTCACCGGCTTCCATTTGGAGCCCTCGATCCTCCTTCAGATTGGCATGCCTCAATGTACGCACACTCCTACAAATCGGTCAACAGGCAGCACTTGCCCGAACATTAGAGACCCTCTCGATCGATGTCTGCAAGACTCGATCTTTGTGCTCACTCTGCGATTCCCTTCAAGTGACGCAAGCAGTATTTTCTCATTACGCCTATCCGGTGTCGATGCAGCTTCGTGCACCCGCCAAACTGGTGTTGGCATTGCCCTGAGTCCCCGGGCTGAAGCTGCTCTGGTTGATTGGATTCCAATCAGTAGCCGGATGTGTGCGGTCCGATTGGCTGGCTCATTCAAAGCTTCGAAGTCGCGCGGGACTAATAGGTGTCTATTCATCATCACTGCCCACGCGCCCACAAACTGTAGCGATGATTCGGTAAAGAATGACTTTTACCACCAACTGACCCATCTCCTTCACCACAGAAGAAGCACTGACACTGTTGTGCTGGCGGGGGATCTGAACGTTCAAGTTGGAAAGTTGTTTACTGATGAAATGCATCTGGGTGGTCAGCACGGTGTGGGCTCTCGTAATGATAACGGTGAGCGGTTACTTCATTTGTGTGGAGATTGCCCGCTTATTTCTTGCGAGCACTAACTTCCAACACGGCACCCGCCGGATAGTGACTTGGCGCCCACCAGCCTTGGACGCAGATTGATCACATTGCTATCACTTACCGCTGGAGAGGCTGCATCCAGAACTGTCTCTCGATTTGGAGCACATATGTGGACACCGATCATGCACTTGTATGTGCTGACATGCGGATGTGTTTTGGCGGACGCCCACGACGCCGCTGTGAGAGCATTGACACCAGCCAACTGTCGAAGCCAGCTGTTCTGAATGCGTATCGAAGTACGCTGACATGCCAGTTGAGCAAGCGCACACTGGAGACAATTGATGTTCACTGGTCACATGTTCACCAGACCTTACTAGCAGCAGGCAAATCCTCATGTGGTATGTCTAATAGCCAACATGGATATTGGGTCTCTTCTCGGTCTCTGGAACTTACCGACGCTCGCCGACATATCCCGACTGGAACCAAACACAATGAAACTCGCAAAGAGCTCCGGGCAAGACTCCGTGCTAGTCTGAAGAGAGACCGCGAATCTTGGTGGTCTCATCGTGCGTCAGAGATGGAAGTGGCCGCTGCCCTTGGCAACCATCGTAAGTCATTCCTTCTGATACGGGAAACGGGCAGCAGGAGACTTGGTGTTAGTGAAACTACGTGATGAGAGTGGACAGCCATCCACAATTTGTCAACGTGTTTGGAGCGTTGGACTGAGCATTTTGAAAAGTAATTTAGTCGGCTAGAATTGTTCGATTCTTCGCCAGCCAGTGATCGCCCTGCTCCGTGGGCTGCCCCATTGGATCCACCCTCTCGCTCAGAAGTCAAACGTGAGATCGCACTGTTAAATTTGAACAAAGCCGCGGGACCAGATGATCTTCCTCCAGCTCTCTACAAATTCGGAGGTTCTGCTTTGTTGATGCTTTACATGAATTACTGGTGAAACTGTGGGAGCAGGAGACTGTCCCAACCGACTGGAGCCGCTCCGTTATTGTTCCTATCTTCAAAGGAGGCTCGCGTTCGGAATGCGGCAACCATAGAGGAATCAGTTTGATCTCCATCGCCTCCAGTTTATCGCCTCCATAGTCTTTCACAAACTAACTGGCGCTCGTGAAAGCCAGATTCGTGAGGAGCAAGCCGGGTTTCGTCAGGGTCGTGGCTGCATCGACCACATCTTCACCTTGCGTCAATT